TTTTTTACACAGTAAACGTTTGACACTATTATAAACGTAAACATTAACACTATTATGAACGTAACCATTAACACTATCATAAATGTAAACGTTAACACTTTTATAAACTATAGATAACTTTTGCGAAGACTTTTTTATTAGTGAAAGTTACGATAATAAATACTTTTTAGAACGTGTAAAGGCGTTCTCAAACGCCTTAATCAATGCGTCAAAAGTGTCGGTAAACAATTTTACTTAGCAGAAAATATTTTAAGTGGATCAAGTGCGTTTGTCATTTTGACGAATATTTAAAGTTTATTGCGTGAACAAAAGATTTTTTTATTAGTAAAAAAAACCATTTCAATTTACAAACATTTGCCGCATACTATCTTTTTTATATCATATTCAAATTTCAATTAACGTTAATCGAGTATTCAAAAAGATTACTCAAGTAACTTTGTCATCATCAACGAAATTCATTAAACTAAAAAGTTTTTATGAACAATAAATAAAATACCTAAAGCCCAAAAAAACAAATACGGTTAAACTATTTTTTGGCATACTATTTCGTCATAGAAGTGAAAATCCGATCTGCGCCATCCATATTTGGTATCCTGTGTACTGCATATGTTATATAACCCAAGTTGTAGAGGTTGTATTATTTGTAATTATTCTTTACCATGCAGACCTATTCATATCATTATGATTCAAAAAAAGAGACTGGATATATTGGACTAATAGAGAATCAGGATACAAATTATTTCAATGTTATTCTACAATCATTATACTGTATAAATAAATTTCGTAAGGTTAATGCCTCTAAATTAATGTTTTTTCTACTTGTTCATTAAATCTTAATTATATTCTTTTTTGGTTATAGGTGGTATATCAAATTCCCACCGAGAATGACGAACCAACTAAAAGTATTCCTTTATCTATGCAAAGGGTTTTTTATCAATTGCAAATATCAGAGACTTCTGTTAAAACAACGGAATTAATAGAATTAATGGGTTCATTTGGATGGTTGGATTGGTATGACTTTGAAGTCTTTAAAAATACGTTACTAAATAATTTGGTGAGTAAAATGAATATGCGTTTTTTTATAATTTATCAATTTTTTCCTATAAACTGTGTTAACATTTTACCCGTTATTAAGGATGCAAAATCAAATGGTGATGTTTCTAAGCTCTTTGTTGGTGAGATAAATAATTATATTAAATGCATTAACGTAGATTATGAGGACTCTCGCGTTGAAGATTATTATGGTAATAACGACCATATAAATATACATTTACAAATGCTTTTACTATTTTTTTAACTATCATTAATTTTATCATTGGTAGGTATTCAACTTTGCGTAATTGGGTGTAAGACTTTAGACGATGCTTTGATGAATTATATACAAGAGAAAACATTAGAAGGAGAAGATAAGTACCAAACCGAAATCTATGGCTTACAAGTGAGTTTATATTTTCAGTTATAGCTCTATCAAAATCTGATGATTTCATATAATTAATCAAATTACTTCATTATTACTTGGTTGAATTGTTAATTTTAATTATCTATAGGACGCAAAATCAGGCGTAATGTTTGAAAGTTTTCCACCAGTATTATATTTGCAACTAAACCGGTCTGGATATGATGAAACAAAAGATGTTGAAGTTTATGTACTATATTTATTTTCTACTGTAATTTTTTATTATAATTTATAAATTGTGATGATATGTAATCAAAATTATAATAGACAAATGACCGGTTCGAATTTCATACGGAAATTGATTTGCAAAAATATTTATCTCCAAGAGCAGATATCTCAAAATCCCATAAATATTTGCTTCATGGGTTTGTAAATTTTATATATTTATATTATTCATTTATATCATTATAACTTCATTACAGACTAACTTTCATACCATATTATATCCTTTAATATTTAGAGTAGTTGTTCTCATAGATGATATATATGATTTTTTTGCTTTACTAAAACCAGAAAAAAATGGGAAATGGTTTAGATTTTAATTTTCCTGATAATGATAAATTAATTTCTAAACCGTGTAATATTCCTAATAACTTACATTGATCATTGTGACAGGTTAAAATTTTATGATGAGGCAGTTACAATTGTAACAGATGAAGAAGTACTTGAAAATAATTACGGGGGTAACAAATATAGTGCATATATGTTGATATATATTCGTGAATCTGATATCGACGATATACTATCTCCTATACTTCCTGGAGATATACCTGAACACTTGCGTGAGTAACCTCGTTTATAGAATTCGCAATTTGGACTTGCATTATAATTTTTTTTCATACTGTATAATAGAAAGACGCTTAGATGAAGAGAGAACGTTATGTGAGGAAAGAAAAAAGAAAGCAGAAGAATATTTATATGTGCATGTCAAGGTACAACTTGTTTGAGGTTAATAGTAAGCTTGGATTTTATTGTTTAAACCACTATGTTTAATTTTTACTGATAGATCGTGACTCCAGAATTCTTTAAGTGCTATCAAGGGTTTGATCTCGCTAATTTTAATGACCAACAATATCCACTATCTGATCTTCCACAACTTAAAGTTTCGAAAAGTGACACATATGAAACTTTTAAAAACATGGTAGCTACTAGATTTGGGTTTCCAGCTGAACAAATAAGGTTATGGGTTCTTGTAAATCGTCAAAATAAAACCACTAGACCAGATGCTCCAATAACAGACGATTGTCTTGGCATGTGTATGTAATATATAAACTATGATTCTTTTTTTTAACTTGGTAGTCAATTTCTTATTAACTATGAACAGTAATGGAAGAAATTCACACAAAAATGGCTGCAAGACAAAACGATTTGAAGCTGTATTTAGAAGTTGCGATTAATGGAGTAATTATTTTAACATATTATTATGTATACTATTTAAACATATATTTTATTTATTTGAGTTATTTGCATATTTATTAATTCATAGACAGTGCTTCCACCAACCGAAGAGAATATGCTTATCTTTATCAAGTATTTTAACCCCGACACACAACTTTTAGAGTATATAATTTAAATCGTTCTATTAGTTCTCTTGATAGCGTATGAGAATTAATCTTCACGAGCATCTAATCAGGGGACTCGGTCATATGTATGTCCAAGGAAACAGTAACGTTGGTGATATCATTTCCATTCTTTGCGAGAAAATGGAGCTTCCACCAAACACGCCCTTGAAAATATACGAAGTAAACTATATTTAGCATATATATATATATTCGTTGGTTGTACCCTAGACTAGAATTTAAATTCTAATTCTGATTCGAATTATATTAGTCCAATCTAGGGTACAATATATTAATTGTTTATAATGGTATATTTATTTTACCAAAACATAGGAAATAAATCCAAATATGATTGAGGAGATGAAATCAGGTTTATCATTTCAACAATCTGAGATACAGGATGGTGATATAATATGCTTTCAAAAGAAGCTGACAGAAAAAGAGTAAGCTATTTATTAGTATAATCTTTGTTCTTTCGTTTTTTTTTTTTTTGTTTTTTTTTTTTAAGCGGATTGTCTTTCTATTTTAGAGCTCAATTATATGTTACTGCTGGTCAAATTATTAATATACCAGCGTTTTATGAATCATTATCTACGAGAATCGTTGTCAAATTTCGGCAAAAAAATAATTCACAGGGACAAAGACCTGATTTTGAATTGATTTTAAATAAGAAAGATACATATAATGATGTACGTGAAATAATTTTAGTTGAAATAATTTTATTACAAAAAATAAAATGGGATGGATATGTAACGGATTACGTGAAGCAATTCATCATCATATCTTTATATTTTAATCGTTAATTTTAATTGATGTATATGCTCTTTCTTTGCTTATATAGCTCTCTGACCGTGTTGCTGCTTATTTAAGCGCAGATCCTTTAAAATTACGGTTTACTACAGCATATATTGGTTCACCTAGAAATGTGATTAAAAGAACGACCACTCAAACATTGTCAGAAATGCTTCAAAGAGGATATGCACCTAATTCGATGAGTCTTTTGTATTACGAGATGCTAGATATTAGTATTACGGAATTAGAAACTAAAAATTTCTTAAAAGTATACTGGCTTGGGATGACTATTAAAGAAGAGGTATAAAAACAAAACTTAATATTCCGATTTATATATTGTTTATTTATTTATTTTATTTATTTTATTTTTTTTAATAAGGAAGTAATTGATGTTATTCTTCCAAAGACTGCTCTTGTTGATGAAATTTTAGAAGTAATTTTACAAAAATTATCATTACCATGGCCCACCTATAGAATCCGATTATATGATGTTATAAATTACCAGATTATAAATGAATATGAGAGTACAGATCAGCTAGATACAGTACAGGAAAATTTGAGAAAATTATACGCTGAGGTTGGTTAATTTTTTTTTTACTCATTTATTGTAACTTTTGAATCTTTATTTATTTATTTATTTATTTATTTATTTATTTATTTATTTGTTTATTTATTTTAAAATTGCTTATTTTTAAAATTTAGGAAATACCGCAAGATGAAATCAATTTAAACACTAATGATAGTGTTGTTAAAGTATTTCATTTTACAGAGGAGCCGTTAAGCACACACGGAGTTCCATTTAAATTTGTTATTAAAACGGTTAGTATCTCTGAAAATATACAGTTATGATAATTTTCATGTAACTATCAATTAATATTATATGTAATTAGGGGGAACCTTTCTCTATGACAAAGGTGCGCCTTCGAATGCGCCTAGGAATGAATGAAAATGACTTTCAAAGAATACAAATTGCTATTGTGGCATCAGGTGAAGAGCCTCATTATATAGATTATGATGGTACTTTTATTCATTCTTTTCTTTTGTATCTTTATAAAAAAATTTTGAAATTAAATTGCTAATAAATGTTTATCATACACGTTTTTAAATATAAATAGATATTATTTTATCAGATTTTGAATGGACAGATGAACTTTTGGGTCTTGATTATGAAAAACCAGAACATGCGAGAAGATTAATTGATACTGATGAAACTATATGTATTAGAGGATAAACTTTTTTACTAAATGATTTTTGCTTTATATAATTTTTGGTTTATGAAGTGATTAGTATACGTTTAAAATTAAATTAACTACATTTTGATCCATAAAGGTGATCGACAAAACAATAGACGATAATATTTCTAAAGGATTTAAATATTATTTCAATATCCTTTTTCAAAGTAATTTAGAGGGATTAAGAGATGAAATACTTGTTTTCAAAAAAAAAAATAATAAAGGCATTTTTGTTATATGGTGCTCTGGCGTTTGGTGCACCCTTCTATATCAAAATTTTGAGTATGAAACCCTCATCGAGGGTACTAAGTAAAAATATTCCTTGCTAAATTTTACTATAAACTATTTTTTACCCTAACTTTAAGGGTAGGGTGAACGTAGATCAATTTTAATAGTAATCACGTTACAAATCATATGATATCATTGATTTGACCAAT